GACTGCAGTTCCTGGATGGCTCAGATCGTGATTATCCTATAGTGCAAGCTGGGCAATGATTTCTGTTTGAATCCCTTTTAGCTTCAGAATTGATGGATGTTTTCCAAAGCTCGGGTTTGATGACTTGCAGAACTGAATGTTATCCTGGTCTTCGAATACGATGAAGGGAGGTGGGTTGAATTCAGGGAGGTTTTTGTGTGTGCCTTACCTCTTGACTCTTACTGAGCAATGTCTGCTTCTTGGAAGAGTTTCTCATAGGATGTATTTGTGGCCTATTTCAGTGAAGATTTGTTAGCTTCGGTGGGGAATTTCTTGCCCTTCAGAGAATTCCGAGTAGCCAGTTGCTTAATATCTGGGGCATATGGGATGCTAACATTGAAGTTAACTTGATTTGCAACAGGACTTGAACTCGATTCTCCTAGATAAGTGCTGTGCTGCTTTTTATTTATGCTCTGAAAGGCATTTCTTCCTTTCTAATGTAGAAGGAAGACAAATGTCTGAGCGCTTCACTTTGTCACAAAATTGGGTTCTTGTCTCCTGGCCAGCCTTGCTTTATAAATGTCATTCAGAGCACTTAACAGTGCTTAGCAAAGACTTGCTGTGGGAAAAGCCTAGATAAAAATCTCTTAAACAGAAATGAAAAAGTAATTTGAGGATGTTTTCTGCCAATCAAGTTGTTTTTACTTTCTGCAGAGAACACAGTAGGGGTTCCTCTGTCTACTTTCACTTACAGAAAGTCCATGGAAATGCTTCATCAGGTAATGACAATGTATTCTTGTATTAAGCGGGTACTGTTTCAGTGCTTTGGGACTCAATTCACTTAGCTTAAGGCGAAAAGTAAAATAAAATGCATTGCTACTTACGTACTCTTGAGGCATATGTAATGCAAATATAATGCTTTAGCTTCGGGCTAAAACTTGTAGCAATCAAGTGCTAAACCTCCCTGTCCATCTCAGTCCTGGGAGCAAAGTTTGCAGGTCTAAACATAATTCCAGCACGTGTCTGAGCACAGACAGAATAATCTGCATGTGCATGTTCCACCCTAAAATTTAGGTGAACTAATAACGGCAGCTCTTGTTGCCTTACAGGGGTATTAGGGTGTTTTGGGGTTTTTTTTGGGTGGGTGGGCGGGGCAAACTTCCTTGTAAAGTTGGGGAGGAAATGGTTTCAGAAGCCCTAGGTTAAGGGCAAGATAGCAGGAGCTTGGAGGTTGACTAGAGGCTGTGAAGGGTACCGGCAACCAAGGGAGTCTCCTTCGAGGCCAGAGAGGATGAGCAGAGTTTGTGTCAACACTGGCAGTGAGTTGGCTGGAGACAGAGAACTGCTTGCAAGGACAGAGTGGATGGTATTTTAATTGTGTTCAGACTTCTCTTGAGTATTTTTCTCCCAGCCTTTTGGTCAGCTGTAGATAGGACTGTCTAGAAGACCCAGGCAGTTTCATCTCTGTGCTTTGATTTGTGGTCCCGTTGCAAATATGGGAACAGGACAGTAAGACAGTAACAGCAGCTTCCCCATTCAGTACCACAGATGGGATTGCTCTCTGCTGCTGTTCTGGGGGTTGTAGGAAATGGTGTCTGTGACAGCTGGAGGCTGCCTCTCCCATCTTTGGTATATGTGGAGTGCTTGGAAAAGATCAGTTGAGCCTCTGGGAAGCAGAAGATGGTGGTGCTACTGGTTCGGTCTGACTCTTGCCCTTTCTGAGCAGAGATTCCATCCACCCTGATATGCCCATGAACAATCTGTTCTTTGCCAACTGTAGTTTTATGCCTCTCTACATCTTTTTTTTTTTTTTTTTTTTTTTTTACTACATGGAACAAGTGATTAGTCTGTTATTCACTGAAATGTTCTTGGAATTTATTCATGCTGCAGCAGGGGCGAGGTGTTACACAGGAGGCAGAAGACCCATCACCCCCCTTCCATTCCTCCCAGCTGCTGCTTACCTTCTCAGCGTAGACACAAGTGGAGGATGATTCCCGTATCAAAAACGACAAAGGGAGAGGCTCAGGTTCATTCCTTGTAAGTGGGGAGAAAGGGGGCTGTGGATGCAGAAAAGAGACGACTCCTGCCTTCCCATCACTGCATTTCAGTCTTTTTAACCCTATGGCTTTGTTGTCTGTTTTCCTTTTCTTTTGCATCAGCCTGAATTTATCCCCTTTTTCTGCTCTGCCATCCGAATCCTCCTTGTACACAATCGCCTGGGTCAGTAAGTTTTAGGGACAGTAGAATCGCAGTGCTCTGGCTAACATCCACCCACCTGTGGTGGGGAACACTGCTGGTGACAAGCTCTTTCCCCCTTCTTTCCTCCTCCCCTGAACTTTGGCCAAAGCCAGGTACTGAGTTGGTTTCTGCTGGCGCAGGGTCGGGTTCGAGGAACACCCCTGCTCCCCCAGGCAGCCGGGCTGTAACCTCTGTCGTGTGCAAGATGTCATGTTGTGGTGGCAGCGGGAAACCTTTCTCCAATGCAGGAGTAAATGCTGTACAACAGCAAGGAGGGTCAGTGCGGACAGTTAGAACTGCAGGCTGAGCCACCACTGCAGGGAATATTGCTGCATCTTTTTGTACTGAATGATCATTGGTTTTGTCGTCACTCCTATGTTGCCTCAGAATGTTCCTTGCAAAATTAGGTGTTGCACGTAAGTAAGACTTTTCAACCTTGCTGCAGCAAGAGATCTTTACTTTTTTTTTCTCTGAATACAATATATAGGGAAATAAAACTTGCTTTTAAACTTACTTGGAAGCATGAATTGGGGAAGGCATTCTGTTGGATGTCTTTTGGAAGTGGGTAAGTTGTGCCCTCTGTGTTGTGCCTGGGCAGTATTGTAGTCCAGCAGTTTTACTAATCGCAGACGGTGACAGTTGTGTACCTGCCTCCCTTACGGTCACTGGGCCTTTCTTGGCACAATGCGCACAGAAGCCTTCTCCAAGCACACGTGCTGTGTGTGATGGATCAACGCATCACTGAGCAGGATGCTTTTTTACTTCTTAGGTGCTCTGTGACTGCTTACAGAAAACAATTACACACCTAAACCTCTTGCTTACGAAGAGTTAATTTTGTTAAGAACGTGTAGACATGGAAGTCGCCCACAAGATCATTTTTAGTGTCTTCTGAAGAAGACTTTTTTCTTTTCTGGAGGGGGACAGGGAAGAGGAGGTCATGAGTTGCCTCAAGATGGCCTGAGATACAGAAGACAGCAACAGTCTAGTTCGTATGTAGTCACACTTCCTTCTCTCTGCCTTCGGTGTTTCACTTGCTGATCCCCTTGTTTTCCTCTCCAGACAGTTCTCGAACGTGTACGTAAAGGTACTGTTACACTTTCTACGTTAAAAAAGCACAGAAAGCAATTGCCGTTTTTAATGTATTGTTTAATCTGCAGTAAAAAACAAAAGGGGGAAAACTGACTTTTCTAAGCATATGAATGACATACTTCTAAAACAACATAGTGATCAAGGTCATTTTCATTTTAAAAAGCAGAAACTCAAATTTAGCAGGCCTTGAAATCCCACTCTAAGAAGTTTTTCATTTAAGTATTTCAAAGCGAGCCTGTTTTTCAGATTAAGGGAAGGTGAAGCTTATATTTAAAAAAAGCTACAATAGAACAAAATACTGAATTCTATTCTCATTCTCATTTAACACTTTGCTTTTTAGATATGCAGTTTAGCATTCCCCGTGAGATTGTCTTTATTTTCTTTAAGCCATGATTATGTCAAATTAATTCCTCTTTTCTGTGTGTCACGCAGTGTTAATAACATTACTAGGCTTGCAACATCTCCAGAGCTGTTTAGTCACAAAAATGAATGCTCCAGAAAGTGAACTTTAAGAAAAAATGGGGCCATTCTGTTTATAAAGGCCATGTAGATGGCTCCATAAACTCAACGGTAGGGTTCAAGACGTATAGTGTGGAGGAAGGCAGCGTAATACCTCTATCTTTGTTTTTTCGGGGCTACAAATCCTAAGTCATTCCATCTTTGTGGGTGTTTCAGCTGAGTACCTTCCTTAGAGATTTAATGTGTCATAGGATCAATCCCAATAACTGGAGACTTTGCCTCAGCAACAAGGGTGAGTTTAGAAACCCCCCTCCCCCTTTTCTTCTTTTCCCCTTACGGATAAGCAGTTTCTCTTGCGGGGAACGGAGGTTAGCGAAGGAGCTAGCCTGAACGGCTGCTGTCCATGGGGAATAAAGAGGGGCTGTCATCTTGTGTCAAGAGTGTCTAGCTCAAGGATTTATAAATACAGCGGCTGTTGCAGATTCTGAAGGGTCTGAAGACTCTCTGGTCCGCAACTGCGTGTCAATACTCTTGCCGTGGTAGCTGGATAGCAGATACTTGCTAGACACCAGCGTGGTCTCATGGATACAAGATTCTTGATGCTGGGGCTGCTTTGATTTTGGGGTGCGCGAAGGGTTTGGATTCTGCGGCCACGCACATTCCCTCCCGCAGCCCCTCGCTGGCTTCCGCTGGAGCACAGCGAGCGCCTTCCCGCGCCCCCGGAGCAGCTCTGTGGGAAAGGCGCGCTCTAACTGGCTCATCACCATTCATAATGACCCGGCAACTCCGCGCGGGGAGCAACCGAGCTTGTGATTTATTTCAGCAAGCTACATGGATGAAAGGTACTCCCGAGTGTACGAGTTCAGCTAGTTGCCTAATTGGACATAAATTTTCACGTCTAGCTCGGAGAGGGGGTTTTATTTTGAAAGGCTGAATTTGGATTTACGGGCAAGCCTCTGGGCTGCTAAACCGGTCTGTGAGCAAAGTTTAATGCTGTCGTCTTTGGGATGCCTTAGTTTCTGAATTCAGTACGTGCTAGTATACCTTGTCACTTGCAAAGCTAATGGAATATTAACTTAAGACTTTTATTTACAGTTAGAACATCTGACCTTGCTTTTGGCGCAGTAACGCGCGCTTCGGTTTAAAAGCCGGGACTGGTACTGCTGCTGTGGTTGTCGTCTTCTACCGGTTTGTCGTCACTGCCTCCCTGCTCGTTTTGTCGAGGCTCTGGCTGCTTTTTCCTCACACGACACCCATGATACGAGCCACCCACCAGCTGCAGGGCATGATGATGCGGCAGGCGGTGCGGCAGCCTTGGTAGTTGTAGGGCCACGGGTAGTAGCCCATGAGAGGCTCGCAGATTCTCTGGCACTGTGTGTAACTTCGTCTGCATTCGATGCAGCACACGCCCAGGTGATCCAGCATGGGGTCAAAAGCCATCCCTTCGCCTTCCAGCTGCTGAAATGTGAAATATTAAATGTCATCCTGGTGCCCTCGTTCGCAGAGAATGTAGAATACACCGATGCTCCCGTTAACCCCGCAAAGGGTGGAAACTGAAATCTCGGTGCCGCTGAAGTTAACAGAACTCCCACTAACTGACCTGTGCACCTGGCTTTTTTCTTATTTTCCCCATTGTGTCTTGCTCTGTTTGCTAGAAGTGTAGAACTGGTGCAGTCACCCATGCAAAATGGAAAGAAACAACAGGGAGCTCGAACTTTGTTATTTTTCTTCTACAGTCCTTGCGAAAGATCCAGCAGCAGTGAACTCCCAAGTTTTAAATATTAGTGATGGAAAAGATTTCAAGACAGTTATCTGGGTCTCTTCTGTAGATGACAATGTCTGAAGTGTATGCTGTGTTTTTAATGTTTTAATTTTTGTATTTTAATGCTTTCTTGCACTTAGGTGCATCGTGGACAGCATGAATTCTGCCTGTTCTGTATCTGACAGTAAGGAGTTACAGGGAGCAAGGCATGCACAAAGCATGTAAAAGCAGGCTCTTGCTACTGCCTTCACCCTTCAAAATTCCTTCCTCCTTTCTGGGGAAAAAAGTAACCTGGATATTCTGCTTTCTGAAACTCATTTGTTCGTTGGTGTTATTTCAGGAAAAGCAGCAGCAAAGATCAAATGCTGGAGTCACACTTAGCTTTTTACCTGAGCGTTTTGCATTCAGAAAACTAGCAGCACGCCGAGACGGTGAGGCACAGAAAGGTGCCATCGCTTGTCTGGCCTTGTGCAGGACACTAGTGACAGCTCGGTGTTGTTCGGGCCCCCGGCGACCCATTCCCAGCCCGGAGAGCCGGGAGGGTGTCATATACTTGGACAGGATTCGTCATCCTTGAGTTCAGATACCTGCAGCGTGGACCTTCTACACCTGAGCTCACTGTCCAGACTCCACTCGTGGTGGGTGATGAGATACAGTTCTAGGGAGGACTCGTTTCACCCTACAGGAAAGACCTGCAGTGTAATTAGTGGTCCTTTTGAGCTGAACGAACCTGCCTCTGAAGAAAGCTTGGATATACAGGCATCTACGCAGGTGACCCTGCTTCGGCAGGGGGTTGGACTAGATGACCCACATAGGTCCCTTCCAACCCCTACCATTCTGTGATTCCGTGACTGTTGGTGAAGGTGAGGGGGGTCTGGTGACCACATCTGAGGGGACGTTCTCCGTTTGGCCCAGGGGCCCCCCGGCTGGATGATGGGACCTGCGGCAGCTGTTCCTCCAGAGCCAGGGCAGCTCAGACCCCGTGGACACGGTCACATTAGTTGCTGTGAGGAGAAGTTACATTCCAGAGCTGCTGCTGTTTTACTGACCTCGTGAGAGAGTCGATTTAGAGCCACTTTATTTGGAGTGATTAATTTAAGATTAATTAAGGGATGTCAACTCAGCAGAACGCTGTCACAGTATAATGATCTCCTGCTGTTGCATAAATGTCAAGTCAAAGCTGGGACTTATTTCCAAAGCAGGAGGCATTTATCTTGTGACAGTGCTGTATTAAAATGACTTGCTCCTGCTGCACCAAATGGTGGGTGTAAATTGTCTGGCGCTGGTGCAGCAGACTGGAAGGTGCCCACTGTACAGTCAGGTTTTCCTCCAGCGCCGCAAAGGTGCTGGGACACAGCGGGGCGGCTCCCGCGCTCTTTCTGTGGGCTGCTTCGCCTCGGAGAGCGGGAACAGATTTCGTGATGCTCATCCTCCACTCACCGTCGCTGTCTCTGAACAGGTTCTCCTCTGTGAGTTGCTTGCTAGACTAGAGCCACGTGGTCTGGTAGAGGCTGAGGAAACAGATTTACTTGGCCTAACCCTGCGCTCTCTGCAACCAGACACTACTACTGCTTTTGTAGCAGTCACTCCTGATAGTCATTTCTATCTGAGGGAAAAGCATAGTTATGTTTCTAGCTCTCTAGACTCTCTCTTTACATTGTCAGTAAATGATGGGGATCAGCTGTCTGATCAAGAGGAGCTTTGGTTTGTTTTCAGATGGTGCTGTCCTTGGTGGGTCTCTCCAGTGCTGCTTCCGGATGGACCTGAACCCTGAAGAGCAACTCGGCATCAGCTTGCCTCAATCTTGCTACCTCAGGCACTTGTGCTTGTGTCAGACTGATGTCTGGTGAAAACTGGGGTGAGGGAGGGACAACAGGATGAGGGAAGACTTTTTTGAACTTCTTGGGTTTTCTGCAAGTCTGTAATTTTGGAGAAAAGCTGAACAGGCAAAGACTGCACAAATTCAAAAAAAAACCCACAAAAGACAAACCCTACATCACCAGTATTCACTGTCTACAACAGTCTTGGGTCTGAAAAAAGATTACTTACATTATATGGGTTGTCTGGATTAAGCGTTTGGTCGGTTTCTTGTCCCATTGGCCTGGTTTCATTAGACGGGCGATCAAGCTCCCGAGTCAGCTGTGTGGTGGGTGACCTGGTGCTCACTTCTTCAGTAGCAGCTTCCAAGTCTTCTGTATCGAAGTTTGATTCTGACTGGCGTTTGTTTCTCTTCATTTCTCTCCTTTGGTTGTCTGAAGAAATAATCACAAGAGGATAACCTTACCTTCAGCGTGTCCTTGTATTCATCCACACATTATCTAAGGTTTCAGTGATTTCTTTAAATGTCAAAAAAGGGGGAGGCGGGACAGGGGGAAAGATGGAACTGCGTGGTGGCACACTTGATGAGCATCCCCGTTGGAGCTGCTTGCCTTCCTCTGTTGTTTCTGCAGCCTGATGTTAACTTGGCAGCAGCTGCCAGCACTAGCAAGACCAGTCATATGCATCTCACTCTTTAAAGTGCTTTTGTGACAGACTGGTGCTCCGCTCCTAAGGGTGGCTGGTGAACCTGGTGGAAACAGCTTCTGGACAGCTTTCATACTGCACCTTTGTTGCCTGGTGGGATATGAAAGCTCGTGAGAAAGGTGGAAAATATTGGCAGTTTGGTCCTCCTAGGCCTGGAAGTTACCTGGAGAAGTTGCCATCTCCCTGGTGACTCCTGAACACCTTTGCTAAGCCTGGCTGTGGGTGATGGGATTACTTCAGTCCTAGGACTTCCTCCAGGACATCATAAACTTCATCAGCCAGTTGCCTAGCTAAAGTGTCTTGTCCCTCCACTCCAGTGAAACCCCTGGAGAAGCGGGGTGGGAAATAGGACAGGTTGTGGTCCCAGATCAGGAGCTTGCTGCATCCCTAACTCTTGGCCAGGTATAGTGTTCCTGTGTTCCTGCTACCTGGGATTAGCTGCCTAAACATTTGGGGGTTAGTTTAAGCTATTGTCTTGGCCTTCTGTAGAAGCAGGCTGACCTCTCTGGACCTCTACTTCATCTCATAGTAAGTCACCCACGTGGGCTATATAAATTTTCTGAGAAAGTGCAGGTATGGAAGACCAAATATCTACATGTGGTTTCCCAGATGCGCAAGTCTCAGTGGCAGACCTGATTTGGGGAAGGTGTTTAGACGAAGGGAGGGATAACATACTTTTTGAATACAAGAAGTGTTACCTTTGGGATATGTTGGTCGCAGCCAGAAAATTGGAAGATCCCCGCAAAGCTCTAAGATTTTGGGGCTTAGGAAACTGTTATGCTTGATAGGCTCGTCTGCAGCCACCCAGATAAGGGAGTTTTCATCAAATCTCACAGGCATGATTTCATCTTCCTGCAAACAGAAGAGCATAAATCCTTTGCTAGCTCAGTGAACAGCCATGTGCCTGCCTCCTGTTAATTCTTGAGCATCAAACTGTATAATCATCCGCCGCAGCTAATACCGAGCGTCCTTGTATTTCATGAATGCAAACCAATTGTACCGAGCCAAAGCCTGAGTAAAGGGTCGCCACCACCGAGAGATGGCGAAACTTCTGCCAGCTTTTTGCTGGGGCTAAGATTTCGCCCGTCTCTCTCTCGGAAGGCTTTTGCCCCATGTACAAGGACTGGGGGTCAGAGATCTTTCAGCCCAAAGCGCCAGATTTTCAGGTGGTAGAAACTGTGAAGATTTACCCCCTTCAGCAGAGCAGCAATGAAATACGCCAGCTGAAAACAAGACCCGAATCTTCTATCATGCCCTGTTCCCATTTGATGTGCTCTCAAGAGATAACTGTATTTACAGTAGAGGGGAAAAAAAATCTTCTTCGAAAGTTTTAGAGAGGATTATAGGTTGAGAACTGCTCCAGCTTCCAGTTTCAAGTCAACGTGATCGGTCTGATTAAAGGTCTCGTTTGGTAAGAGCAATTCAATTGACCAAAAGCTTGAAGTGCGAGTTGAAGGAGCCTGCCTTTTTGAAGTGTAGCCTGCAGGTTTTTGGTTCTTATCTTCAAAGTAATGTAGGAAAATGCCAGTGATTGATTCTTTAAAGTTGCTAGTTCAAAGTTTTTTTTTTTTTTTTACATAAAATGTGTAAGTATTTTATAGCAACAGTGAAATATTAAAAGAAAACCAACTTGTGAATCATGAAAACCAGTATGATTTCAAAGTTAGAATTCTAAATTGCTTCCATAAAAGTCATTAAAACTTGTTATGTAACTGACTAGATCAATTTATTCCGTCGAGTCGTTGTTCCTTTAATGTGTCTATTGATTTCTTTTCTAGGTCTCAAGTCATTCAAGTTCGCCATCCAATCTGTCGAGTGAGAAGTGCTCTTTATGTATGTTCTCCCACTTAAGCTTTTATCAGCATGAGAAATATCTGAATCTAATTTTCAGAAATAAAAATATCCTTTGTTTCTGTTTGAGATGATGCTTGATTTGATTGTGAACAGGCAGAGTCTGGGTATCTGTAAAAGCTAATTTTAATCAACCATGTTTATAGGCAGTGTTGGTTGTGATACATGTTGTAAGAAAACGGTATATGCATACTTTCTCCTAAACACGGGTGTATCAGAGAGGGGACTTGGTCTAGGAAAAAGAAAAAAAAAACCTATTTTACCATTCCTGTTGTACATCTAACCTGGAAAGTTGAGCAACAGGGAGAGGTTAATACCCCAACACTAGCACTAAATCAGCTGCTTGTTTTGGCCTCGGTGCATACGATTTATTGCAGCGGTTGTGTAGGTGATGCATCTTTGGAGGAGATGCACAGAAAACAGGACAAAGAAATAGGTAGCCGGGTAGAAGACTAGAAATAACTTTTTGACTATTTTAAGATAATGTCTTCAGGACCGCGACTGCATTCTTACAAAAAGATGAAAAATTGAAACCTTGGCTTTAGGCAATAGTACTAATGAAGTCAAGGCACCTACCCTGCCTTTAAAATATGGCAAGGTGGGAAAGATCTAGGTATCTGCCTGGATGGAATTTAGCCAAGATCTCTTCCCCATCATGGGGAAAACCCCACCAACTTCAGGGGCCTTTGGAACATTGCTGGTGCCTTGCTGATTGGAGGGGGAGAGAGGTTTTTTCTCTTCATTTTTCAGGCAGATGCTCAGTAATCACAGCACCATTTCAGGCAGGTGCAGCCTTAGCAGTGCCTCTCTCCCAGCTAATCGTATCTGCTTTGATTTTCCGGGGAGCGGAGCCAACCCAGGGGAAGGGGTTGTGGATCTCCTGCGCTCCCGTGCCGGTGGCTGAGCCTCTGCCAGCACCTGGGCTGGACTGTACTCAAGTCACCAGAGCCACTCCTGTGTGAGTGATGGGTTTAGGGGTCTGAGCTCTGAGAAACAGAGGCTTTGCACACCTGAAGCGATAGGTTTTTTACAAAGGTGAGATAAGGGGAGGTTTTGGCAGTATCTCGGTGAGAACTGCAGCTTTTGTGGTGTTCACGATGCAGATTCCGTGAAATTTAGTTAACACAATGTCCTAAAATGAAGTCTGATGCTGACTTCTTAATTTTTTCAACTGCTGTTTCTGACTGTTAGGTCACTTTTTGCAATAACGTTTTCCACAATTCTCCTTTATTGACAATTTTGGAGGACTTCAGCGATGGAGTCCCTGCTTCTGCTCAAGAGGGTGGATAGAAACCTCCTGGGATCTACCACTATCCCTCTTTGCACTGACTACAGTGGCTTTTTTCCCCATCCTCTCCCTTCCAGCCTTGTGCACAGCCAGGTCTCGGGCAGATGCTCTTGTCACCGAGGTCTCCTATGGATCTGCTGGACGTTGGTCTGGGGCTTCTCCCCACTCCTCCCCAGCCTGCAGCCTCTCACCCTGCCCCTGGACACAGTCGCACTTCTGACGCCAGTCTTGCTTTTCTTACCTTTCAGGGACCCCTTGCAATCAGTGAATGAACCCTCCACTATCCCACCCTACCCGCAGTGAGTTTTCAATGGCATTTTTATTTCTGTTTAAATACTGCTTTAAGACCCTCTCTATACAAAGATTTTGTTTTAAAAAAAAAAAAAAAAATATTAAATCAATTACCCCTTACCAGCTCAGACGAGAGGCTTGCTTTAGTCATAGCATCAACTTCAGGGACGTGAGCTTTTGGCTGAGCTTTGATGTAACACTTCTCTCCTTCGGCAAAACGGATTCCAGTTACGCCCTGCAAAAGCAGAAGGCAGGGGGTTGTGTGCAACCCTCCAGCTCCCCACCGCCCCCAAGCAAGCGCTCGAGCTCCGCTAAAATTGCCACTGAATTTTCAGTCTGAAGGTTAAATCTGATTTAAAACCAGATGCAATAAAACACTCTTCCCTCGTCATTTCAGCTTTATGATCTTGGTCAAACGGGTCTAGAAGTTTTCATTCGACTTCTGAAGGATGGGGGTGTTTTATGTAAGTGCCTCCACATCAGCTGCAGGCTACTCGGAGTAGCTCTGTTAAGGAATTAGTTGACATGATTTGAACTGTAACTTAGCACCTACCGTAGGCGGCCTCGAAATTGCGTTAGCTGGTGGGGCGGTACCCTTATGACAGAGATTTACAAAAATAGGGGGGCAGCTTGGTCCCATTAATACATGTAAGTGGCTGTGACAGCAAGGGGAAGCTCGTGACGGGGGGATTTGGTGCAGAAATCTGTGCGTGGGATCTCCTTCATCTGGCCTGTCAGGGTGAAATGCAGTTGCCTAAACCATGGATGCCTGGTAGTAAGCAAGAGAAGGGTATCCCAGCAGCTCCAGAGGGCTGCAGGTCTCCTCCAAGTCCGGGGTCTTATCTCCCAGCCCTGTGCTGACATCTTGGGTACCAAAACTTAGAATCACAGAATCATTAAGTTTGGAAAAGACCTCTAAGATCATCAAGTCCAGCTGTCAACCCAACACCACCATGCCTGCTACACCATGTCCTGAAGTGCCACATCTACATGTTTTTTGAACACCTCCAGGGATGGGGACTCCACCACTTCCCTGGGCAGCCTGTTCCAATGCCTGACCACTCTTCCAGCAAAGAAATTTTTCCTAATGTCCAATCTAAACCTCCTTTGATGCAACTTGAGGCCATTGCCTCTCATCCTATCGCTAGTTACTTGGGAGAAGAGAACAACACCTGCTTCACTACAACCTCCTTTCAGATAGTTGTAGAGAGCAATATAGTTCCCCCCTCAGCCTCCTCTTCTCCAGACTAAACAGCCCCAGCTCCCTCAGCCGCTCCTCATAATACTTGTTCTCCAGACCCCTCACCAGTGTCACTGCCCTTCTCTGGACACGCTCCAGCACCTCAGCGTCCTTGTAGTGAGGGGCCCAAAACCGAACACAGTACTCGAGGTGCGGCCTCACCAGTGCCAAGTACAGGGGCACGATCACCTCCCTAAAAATGTCTGGCTGCCCCCACTATCCCGGACACAAGCCAGGATGCCGTTGGCCTTCTCGGCCTCCTGGGCACACTGCTGGCTCATGTTCAGCTGGCTGTCGACCAACACCCCCAGCCTGGGCAAGGGAACCTTGTCTGTAGTTTCTGTTTCTGCTGTAGGTTTTCTTCGTACCCGTAAAAGAGCTCTCCTTTATGTTATGAATTCAGGTACTTCCTTGCAGTTGGCAAAATTTGCATGTTTTTCATAGGGTTGCATGAGCTCCTTTCGACCACCTAAATATAAGGATCTAGTGCCGTTTGGGATATGCTGGGTTTCTGCCTAGCCCTGAGCTGTCAGGCCAGGGGGGCACGGGTGTCCTCACAGCCCCTCTCGCACGCCTCGTACAGGCACCACAGATACCGCAGGCATCTAGTGTGGCTTCAGATGGACAGTACTGAGGCACCTGAGTCTCGTCCTGTGTGCCTGCAAGTCCTGTGCAGCTGGACAGCCTGCAGCTGGACAGACACCCGTCAAAACAGAATAATTCCAAAGCAGTGAGAGAGGGGGATGGCTGTGCAGGGATGGGTGCACAAGGGAGTGAGACTTCGTGGTGCACCCAATGTGCTGGGAGCATCCCAGTATTGCCAAATCCGAGTCTTCACTGACCGTGCAGTCGTTCGAGCGGTGCCAGTCAACCCAAAGCTCCTAATGTAAACACTTGGCTGTTGGAAGCATCTCTTCAATTTCCTTCTCCTTCCGTGCATTCTTGGCTCCAAACCCAACTGGCAACACGCCTTTGCTCTTGCTGAGCCCGTCCCCGGCCTGCTGTAATTACAAGCGGGCACTGTCCCTGCGAGGTCACCTTAGCTGGTTGGTGCTGGGAGCTGATTTCTGACTGGGCAGTGACAGGTGACAGCTTCCCAGCAGCGCACCGGGAGGGGATGTGAATGCAGCATCGCTCCATGGGCTGGTGCTTTTGTGCAGATGTGGAACGGGGAAGGCAAATGCGAAGAGCTCATTGTGGGTGCTCTTATTCAGCTGCTAATAATGTTGCTATGGTGATGTTAACGAGTTTCATACAGGCTGAACC